GGTTTTTCGGAATTGCAGGGGAAAACTCGGGAAAATGGTATGCTGGGAGGCTTTCGGAATATGGAGGTAGGATGGGGAAAAGGGGTAGTATCGGAGAGGAAAATTACGAGGGTATAGTCGTGTTTTGTAGAAAAAGTTCCTCCAACGGCAGGACTTGTCCTGTGAATCAACATGCCGCTTTCTTCGGCTTCCTCGCCTTCTTCACACCCTCTAAGGTTGGGAAACAGAGGGAAGACTATGCTTTTGCTCAGCTTCCACCCAAGGGCACATGCGGGAAGGGAGCTGAGCTAGCCCTTTGCTTCCTACCTAAATACCTCCTCAAAATTTCTCATCTGTTCGATTTTTCAGTATTGTCCATGATTTTTCAATGATCATTCTTTGCTCAGTTCTTGACTGGATCAATCTCAAGTATTTCTCGACTTCTCAGGCTTTGAAGAAGGTGGAAAAGCCGGAATATCGGGCGAATAAAGTCGTAGCAAAGTCTTGGAATGCTCCATCGAGATTATTCATATCCCTAACTTCAAAATGCACCTCTAGCTCAAACACGAGTTAGCTTAAGGCCGGCCATCAATGTCTTAATCCACCTTCACAACTGAAACCCTACGAGTTGTTGAACAGCTCAATTCTAGGAATTCTGGGAAGAGCAATTAGATCTAACTCGCTTGGCAGAAGTGAGTAGATATTAGTACATTAATCCGCCAGTGCGTCAGTTATCTTTTATACGGACACAAAGCCATAATGATAATCTGCGTCAGCGACTCAACCACAGTCTTATCGCCCCTACTTGATTCATGCGCTTTCATGCGTTAGATAAAGACATTCTGAAAGGATGAAAAAATGGATTGAATAACTATGAACCATCTAAGGTCTCCCAAGACCCGGGAGCTTCAAGTTACTTTCATCCCCCTTCAAGTTAGCCTCCTAGATCTCAACTTATGTTCAAGAATGAAGGTTTTGAGGGCCAGTGGGAGAAGAGATCTCACAGACGTGAGAAAGTCGCTTGAGTGTCCAGCCGTAGAGCTCCGGCTATCGCAAGTGGGGGGGGGGGGGGGGGGGCGAATTTGTAGGAGCCCAAAAGCTTCCACTTCCAAGAAATCCTTCCTCGAATGCGTCACTCAGCACTTCACTCAGCATCATAGGCAAGGGAGACGGACAAGACAATCGTAAATGTCGCGTCGTCGCGTGCGGCGTATCAAGCAGCGAGCGCGACGAAATTCTGACGTGTAATACTTACTCATTTGGGGCAGGCGAAGAAATTCCTACGAATTCAAGCAGAGAGATTCCATCACGGGCAACATCAAGTGTTCCAGTTCCTCTGACGATTGAATTCAAACGGCCGGCCAGGACAACTCGTCCGTAGGATGAGGGCGCTGCTTGCCCACTATATTACGATTGTCCTGTCACATGCCCCTTCTCGAGTGTGATTTCGTCCACATATAAGTCGCGAATGTCGGCCGATGTACAATTCAGCCAGTCAGCATCCTCATAGCCGAGTTTGGTTCCGGCGTAATTGTGAGCTCGAACAATATAGATCCTGATTGGCACAGCGAAGGCGATAACGGTGCTCTCCCAACGCCCCTCAATCGTTTGGTCACTGCATTCTCCTCTACTACAAATCTATCAATGTAAAATAACCACCTCCTGTAGAATTGAAGCAATTCTTCATCTCCAAAAGACCAGGTCTGATCCAGTGCACACGAATAAATGTCTATCGCATGTCCATTTTTCACAGCACGGCTGGCCAGCGAATCATAGAATTTAGTCGCCTTAAAATAAAGAGGATATGTTATTCTAAAAAAAACACAAGCAGAAAATGTCTGGATAAGACCCAGTCGTTGCTTAGAAGGTCCACCGTTGCGGCAAACGCGACATCGCAAGTGCCGCCCGAGTGCGACACTTCTGCACCAAAAGTAACCCTAAATGGTCTAAATGCGAGAAGGCTGTGCACAAACATCGGTTGTGCGCTGTCGCCACGTAACCTATGACCTCCCATCCGCCCCTAAACAGAGCCCCATGGCGACTCTGAAAGAAAACCTTTTTCATGTAGATGGCGTGTATCTTTCCATTGATGGTATGGGCGCACGACGAATCGAAGTTTTAAGTTCGTTTCAACGAACGACTGCACCCGGGTCCATGTGGGCAGGCTCCACCGACGAATGCAATGATCGGGCGCCAGTGTTGGGGAAGCATTGCTGGAATATGAATTAAAATCATTGAACCCAAAAGATAAATGGTCCTAGTGAAAGCTGGATAATACCAACCTCAAGCAATGTGACAGCTACTGCCAGCGCGGCGCCAGTAGCGCGAAGCGGCCTGTGGCCTTGGGGGACTGGCCAACGATCCACACTGATTTGATCGATAATATCGTTAATCGATTCATCACACTCGCTGATTGGCTGAAAATACTAGGCAGTACAAAACCCAAGCAAGTGCTGGAAAGGCAGTGAGTACAATGGCTGGAGGCGGGCGGTTGCTGCCAACCTCATTGGTGGAAGGACTGCGAGAAGGCGTTTTGCCACACCCGACTCTGCCCTTCCACCAATTACACTTGCCATCAACTGCCCGCCCCAAGCCATCGCGCCCTCTGCTTTTATTCAATTACCTGAAGGAATTTGTTGAACGTGGTGGGTTGCGGACCAGCGGGAGCTCCTGTAGGTCCACCTGCTGGACCTCCTGGATAGGCAGCATTTGGCGCTCCTCCTGGCATTGGACCACCTGGACCAGCTGGACGAGGTCCTCCCATTGGCATTTGACTTCCCATCGGAGCAGCAGCATTCGGTGCACCACCGGCGTGGACTGGGCGACCACCGCCACCAACACTCATTGCCAGTATATCCTTCAGCTGTTTCTGAGCCACTTCTTTTGTGCCCTGGAAATTAGCAGGAAGTAAATCGGTGGCTTAGTCATTCGCCTTGATGAAAATCGTATTTTTTAGCGAATGTCTCGCATTCGGCCACCTGACAGACCGCATTACTTACAGCATTTAATTACTCACTACATACTATTCAAGGTTTATGACTACGGTAAATCATGTTTCGCATTAGCATATATGATTTACGCACATCTGACATACAGATCTCTGATTACTCGTTGAATTTGCGTCACAGCCCTACTTCATCAGCTACAGAACTCTCGGCCTTTCTGCTGCCGCTGGAACGCGCCATGCATCTCACTGTTGGTCCAAATCGCAAAAAAAACTTTCGTTTGTGCATACAGTCACACTGCATACCCCGTAACTGGAGTGGGCGTGGTTGCTTACTTCATGTGAAAATTGCACAGGATGCGTTTTTCGTGGTTCATGTTCGTTTGAAACAATTACCACTCTGCTCTGTGCAGGACATCATTACAACTGCCCCAAAAAGGCTAAACCTCGCTAAAAGTGTATGTCCCAACAAAGTAGTCGCACTCTCCCCGCAATCGCGATAAGAGCTCACTACCGAGAGCCAGCTGCTTTTGAAGTTATTTTTACGAGAATCTGGCTGGGATCGAATCCCACCTAGGCCAAAAAATCCTTCCACGGTTCAAGGACCGATTGTCTGATACCTGACGTGTCCGGGAGGATAACGCTTCGACTTGTACATCGTCTGGCTCCTGCAAGCAACCGCACACGCCATGTCGTATTCAGTAAGCCACTACGATTCTGAGTGGAGGGAGAATGCGTGGCGCACTCTTACGCGGATTAATCGATCGATGATGAAAGCTTCTATCCGCCATTGGTAATCTTGAAGGGAGCGTTTAGAGAGCCACTTGTGCAAAGATTGGCCTAGCGTTCTCCGAGCAGAACTACCGTACTTGAAATCCGAACGAAACCACCGTAGTTACCCACCTCCTTTCCCACGTTAATCATAAG